AGTGCAAGTGTTTTTTCCCCCCCCTTATAATATTAAAATTATTTCGTATTTTTTTTTTCAAAACGTTTATGTTCAATAAAATTCATGATAGAAATGTTTTGATAGAAGATCCTTAATGTATTTGATAAATTGCCAACCACAAGTTATATGTCTTGACAGCTTGGATTCAACGACTGCATTGAAAAAATAAACTTAACTCACGAGAAAATAGGTAGTAATCATTCAAGAACAAATGAATATTTCATTTGAGAATTTTGAAAAAAAAATTTTTTTCAATGATTTGCTATTCAAGTTCAGGTATAAAAGCCGATAACTACAGTTTAATCTAAAAAACAATGAGGATAGCGCAATTGCTGTTGAGTCAATCTTAATGTTCAAAAATTTTTTCCAAATACTTCTAATTTCCATATTAATAAATATTTTATATAATTTCAGAGGTCTTGATTGAGAGATTTCAGATACCCGAAATCATTTTTTGAAGAAATGTAGCTAGTGTACTTATACCACTAAAACCTGCACAATAACAAAAACCTCCTCGGTATTGCGGTGGCTGCGGGAGCCTAGCGGTCGTTGTCGCGGACTCGCGGCCGGCGGTTTTCGTTGAGTCGTGAGTACGAGTTTTGACGCCCCTAAAGATACGCCGTATAGCCGGGGCTGATGCACGTCAAATTTGTCGAGGCGCAAAGTCCTCCCTTTGGCGTGGTGTGGAAGTTAGGAGAGGGGAGTTCTAGCTCAGGTGTCGTCCTCGTCACTTGATCGAGGTTCAAAATTACGAGGTCCGTCGCCAATAGCCCTCGTGTTGCTTCTGGTTCGACGATAATATCACCAAACCAATCGAATTCTCGGTATTACGGGAACACCATATTACTCAGCCCCAAAATCAGAGGTCTGAGATCGAGTTTTAATAAAATAAATCATATCATCATTTCGGCGGTATCATCCATTTGCAACGCCTTAGACCACTCGGCCAAGCTGCCTATGTGACATCTCGGATGAACTTTTAAAATGGGAAAAAATGTTTCACACTCAAAAAAATACAAAAATATGAAATCGATGGGATTCGAATCGACTCTTCCACTGTGAATACCTTCATTCCAACAAAATAAGAGTTCTTATTAACTTTGTAAGAAACTGTTCGATATAGAAGCTTTAAGCACTGATTGACTGATTATTTATTAACTTCGGACTTAAAAACTACACCAGGCTGTTGGCGACGAACCTCTCAATTTGAAACATCACTCAGGTTTCGAGAACGATACTTGAGAAGAAAAAAAAGAGCTGACACTTCCCTCTTCAAATTTCCACACCACACATACGAAAGTGGATTAGAGTTACCTTTTATTTAACGTGCATTATCTCTCTACACGGTGCGTTCCTTAGCTGCACGGGGAGCGAACTTCGGAAAGACAGAAACAACGTCCATGATGAATAGTCAACTGTGGCCACTATAGAAGCTTTAAAATTGGATTTTCGTAATAAATAAACATTCGTGCGAGTATTTTTACATTGATTTAAATTTTTAAAAAAAAAATCGCTTAAATTTTATGAGCAGTTTTTGTTGAACTTATTTAAGAAATGATTAAAATTGTCGTTTTGAATGATATCGGCTCTCTAGCAAAATTTTTACAATACTACAAAAGTTTCATACTCACTATAAAAAATAAAAAAACTGAGGTAAAAAATGTTAAGTATTTTGCTTTAGTAAGTTTACATAAAAATTACATGTAGTTGAGTTGACCTCAAAATGCCAACGCAAGGAATACGATTTATATGTGTGTGTGTGTAGAACGGGGGTGATGAGATTGTACATCCCTAATCTACACTGGTTTGCTCTTACGCAAAGGGTTGGTTTGTCTAGGGGAGTAATTCCATTACCGGATTCTATGATGATTTCGTAGGAATTCAATGATGAGGCTCAAATTGTTCTACTGCGTTTATTATTTGGAGAGATGAAGAGTGAAAATATATACACATTAATCTATATACAGATTATCTCTATTAGGAGTAAGCAATTCTTCCGAGACAGGTAGATGGCAGCATAATTAATCTTATACCATATAAACGATGGGCATTGGAACACGCTCGGGCGTTCGGAGTTCATCTCGACACGGGTAATGCGAAAAGAGAAGGGGAAAGAGAGCGAGAACGAAATGTCGCTCAGTCTTGTTCGGAAATAGGTGGCGCTGCATGAGCTATCACATGACTCTGATTCGTGGTGCTATCTATCGAGTAACTGAGGAACTGGTTTTACAGTACATTGGAAAATAAAATTAATTCTTTGATAATTAGCTGGAAAATCCTATATATATATATATATATATTCAGTCCACCAGCTTCTCCTCACGACAAATTAGCAGTATAACCATACCTCTTGTACTCGAAGCTTCCTTAAAATATCACCCAGAAAGAGCTAAATACTGGGATAGCAAGATTAACGTATCCACAAGAAGAAAAAAAATCGTCCCCAAATATAGATAGACAATCAGTTAGGCACAAAATCAGTTACAATTAAGATTTTTGAAAAAAAAAGTTCTCGCAAAATTTTGCAAAGAACAAATTTATCCACACAAGGTGCGATTTTTTTTAAGAAAATTATTATTAAATTACTCAATTATAAATTAGAATTAAAGTAATCGAGAAATGGGCAATAGTCAACTTTTCTGATATTAAAATTAAAGGAAACGATAAATTATTAAACTGGATATATTTAAGCTACATGTGATTAAAGTTAGAACAAACGATAAATTATTAATAGAAATATTATATCAGCTACATGTAATTAAAATTAAAGCAAACGATAAATATTTTTTGAATATATTTAAGCTAAATGTAATTAAAATTCAAGAAAAAGTAAAAAATTTGAAAAACGATGTGGTACGCCAAAAGTGATCCTCCTAAAACAATAGCCTCTTCGGTGGCTAACAATAATAAATCAATATTAAAATCATTTGAACCAAAAATATTCCAAGATGGAAGCCAAATTAAAAAGACGTAGTTTGAAATTCTTGAGGCAAAAAAAAAAAAAAAAAAAAGCTGCCGCATAGCTTAAAATTCTGAACAATATTATTTATTTTCAGTCACATCTTGATTCCAGTAAACATATGATTTAAGGTAATGCATAAATCGATATGTAAATTAAATGCTTAATTTTTGTATTTGTTTCACTTCAATCAAATAAAAAAAAAATTGGGGATATTTATTACGACATATTATTGAAAATTGAGTTCATTAGTGGTGAAAGCAGGTATCAGATATATATTGCATGTACTTTATTTCAATCCAATAAAAAATTCAAAAAAAAATTATTTTGACGTATTTTTTAAAGTAAAGTTCGTTACTGGTGAAAGCTGACATAAGAAATATACGCAAAAACTAGATGAATTTTTGAAAAAAACGTCAGGTACGACATTTAAAGGATATAGGAAACAATAGCCCCTTGAGTGGCTAAAAAAAAAAGAATACAAAACCGACTAAGGTTCTTCACTTCAATACCAGGAATAAAAGATTTCACCTTAGTGGTCTTTAAAGTGAAAATTATAAGGACATACAATCTGCTACGAACACACAACGTTATAAAATTGTTAATAACCATTAAAAGCATAGAATATGTCTTAATAAAATAACCTATACGACACTGGTGGCGGAGAATCCCAAGGACCCGAACAGATTAATATAAAACCATGAATAAATTTATCAGACCTATAGAAAACGTTTTTCTTCATTTCACGCACATATCATCATGCTCACACACTAACTAAACTAACTACTTTAACTTTAAAGTTTACTTAAGGTTCTGCTTATTTTTCACCTTTTCGCTAAACTACTTTTCTTTTTCACTAAACTCAATATAACTTCTTATTATTACTTTAGAAATCATAAATCATATCACTTTGTTTCTTCTTTGCGGTAGCTTACTTAGGTAATTACTTTCCCTTAAAATTCATATGAGATCAGAGAAACTTTTTAATAAAAATAACAACTAAATTTATTCAGCCAATACAGTTCCTGTCGCGCAAACTTGCTGATCACTGCAGTTAACAGTTAGCATTCAATCACCATACGATTACAACTTTCCCGAATACGTCCGCTCCGCTCGGAGAATTAGTCTGATCTGACTGAGGGGATCGTATGGTATCCTATACACGCACCTTTACAAAAAAAATAGTCCTCTATAGGTGGGCTTTAAGCACAAGAGATAAAAAAAACTTAGTAATCAATAACATGTAAGAGAAAAAATTACATCAAAAGAAAAAAAGAAAAACTGGCAGTGGTTGAATTCCAAACCACGCTTCCAAACAGAATGGAGTAATCAACCAACGCCTTACACGGTTCGGCCATGCCAAAGACGAAAGATTTTTTTTATCATTCTTCACAATAATAAAATCTTAAATTTAGAAAAAGGAGAAATGTATTTTAATCTCTAATAAAAAATGATATATGATAATTCGATCACAGGCCTTATAAAGAGTTACGGTATGTATAAAGAGCCCTAATTCTCAGTCTTATGGACAACACGCTACCAATGTCCATGCGATTAAATTTCATTTACTTTCGTAAATGCTGACCATCCACACGATTTTAAATTACACTAAATATTCTTTTAAAATGTGTAAACAAGGAAGCGGGGGGATTCAAATGTAAGCCTCCGAGAACACTAATCCCTAAAACAAGTCCTTTAAATACCATTTCAATAACAGAAGGAGCATATCTTATAAATTCTTCACAATAATAAACGTTTGAGCTTTGAAATATGAAAAATACGTTTTTCAAATTTTCAAACAAAAATTTAAATTGTTGAATAAAAACAAAAAATATTGATACCATCTTCAACAAATTAGGTGTAAAAAACTCGCAGATGTGGAATTCGAACCAACGTATTGGAGGAAACTGGTATCTGAAAACAGCGCCTTAGACCGCTCGGCCCCGCTACCCTCAGAGAATCCTCTGTAAATTCATTCCATCGGATAAACAATGATATATGAAATTTGTAAATGAAGTACTGGCAGCGTTGGATTCGAACCCACGACTCCGAGGAGACTGGTGCCTTAAACCAGCGCCATAGAAAGCTAGGCCACGCTACCGATGAGGACAGTTTTATAAATTCTTCACAATAATAAACGCTTAACTTTTGAAATAGAAAAAATACGTTTCACTCTCTAATAAAAATACAATCTCTGGCAACGGTGGGATTCGAACCCACGCCTCCGAAAAGACTGGTGCCTAAAACCAGCGCCTTAGACCACTCGGCCACGCTACCGACACGAAAAGAATCAAATTTCCAATACGTCCTCCAAAATAAAATAGGATGTGTACACTAAGATTCCAATATTAGCTTCAATTGCTGCGTAATTCCTTCCCAAACCTCCGAATGAGTTACACCTGATTCTCATTCTTTTAGTCCACAAGCTAACGAAGTTTGACGCGTTTAAATTTCTTTGCTTCCTGCCATGATCTTCCAGTGATTCAAAATTATTCTGTAATAAAAGTTATATGGGACTCGAACCCACGTCTCCGAGACACAGGCGCCTAAAACCAGTGCCTTTGACCGTCAGCTACGCTGTTTAGAAACAGAAGAACTTTATAATAAAAAATTCATCAATCGTTACATGAAAAATAATTCGATGCAAAGAAAAAATAAAATTCTGTCTGTGATGGTATACTATTCCCGATTCCGAGGAGACAGAATTGGTTATAATTCGGCAACATGGGTTCACATTTTTCAATTCGTCAGAAACACAAGCATTCAAAATTGTTTTCCAGAAAAACAGGGTCCTTCGAGTAATTTGATTCCAGAAAATTAAATAACGTTATGCTGTTACTTCGATGAATAATTTTAATAGAACATTTAGAGCAGTGATTGATGATTGTCATTTAAACGATATCTCTTCTCCGGTCAAAACTCAAAAATTTCAATTCAATGTACATCATCAAGTAGTTATATTTTGAGTTTTTCAGTACAGAAAGTTTCCAGAAAGATTACAAGTTTTTAATTCCGACAAAATAAGCAACGCGATTTGTGTCCCAATAAAACGTTTCGGGGCGAGACCGATTCTCAATATGAATAGGAATTTAATAATACGAACTCGAAATTTGTGCAACATTGAAAACCAGTTGTTCATGCAACCACACCAAAGAATAGAAAATCGATCGAGACAATAGAACACAATCACAATATACTAATTTTTCGATTGTTTTGAAAAACAGATATAAAACTTTCTGAACATTGAATTTATTTCTAAAGATAAAACCAATGAATCCGTGTAACTGAAACATTGGGAAGGTGAGTTGATGTCTGGTCATCATGTTCAAAAGTTCTCAAAAAGTACTTCTTTTTAAAAAGAACAAATTTGAAATAAACCTAAGCTTCTATTGCACAAGTTGAGGTAAGAAAATGATAAAGTAAAACATTCAAGTTTCAATAATGTACATTTATACTGCTTTTTAAGATGCACATTATAATTGCCTCACTCTCTAAAACGATTACATCATATTAAATTTAAATTGTTGAATAAAACTAAAAGGCATTGATAACGTCTTCATCAAATTAAGTGTAAAACACTGGCAGCGGTGGGATTCGAACCCACGCCTCCGAAGAGACTGGTACCTGAAACCAGCGCCTTAGACCGCTCGGCCACGCTACCCTCAGAGAATCCTCTGTAAATTTATCCCACCGGATAATCAATGAAATATGAAATTAGTAAATTTAAAAATGAAGTACTGGCAGCGGTGGGATTCGAACCCACGCCTCCGAGGAGACCGCTCGGCTACGCTACCGATGCGGACTGTTTTATAAATTCTTCACAATAATAAACGCTTAACTTTTGAAATAGAAGAAATGCGTTTCACTCTCTAATAAAAATACAATCTATGGCAGCGGTGGGATTCGAACCCACGCCTCCGAAAAGACTGGTGCCTAAAACCAGCGCCTTAGACCACTCGGCCACGCTACCGACACGAAAAGAATCAAATTTCCAATACGTCATTCAAAATAAAATAGGATGTGCACACTAAGATTCCAAAAATAGCTTCAATTGCTGGTAGCGGCGTAATTCCTTCCCAAACCTCCGAATGAGTTACACCTGATAATCATTCTTTTAGTCCACAAGCTAACGAAGTTTGACGCGTTTAAATTTCTTTTGCTTCCGTGCCCGATGACTGTTCCAGTGATTCAAAATTAAATTCTACAGTAATAAAAAGTTTATACGTGGGACTCGAACCCACGTCTCCGAGGACACGGGCGCCTAAAACCAGTGCCTTTGACCGTCGGGCCACGCTACAGTTTTGAGAAACAGAAGAACTTTATATAATAAAAATTCATCAATCGTTACAAAGTGAAAAATAATTCGACTGCAAAGAAAAAAATAAAATTCTGTCTGTGATGGTATACTATTCCCCGATTCCGACGAGACAGAAGTGTAGGTACATAATTCGGCAACATGAGGTTCACAATTTTCAATTCGTCAGAAACACAAGCATTCAAAAATTGTTTTTCCGAGAAAAACAGAGGTCCTTCCGAGTAATTTGATTCCGAAGTAAAATTGAAATAACGTTATGCGTGTTACTTCGATGAATAATTTTAATAGAACATTTCGAAGCAGTGATTGATGATTGTCATTTTAAACGATATCTCTTCTCCGGTCAAAACTCATAAAAATTTCAATTCCCTGTACATCATCCAACTGTAGTTATATTTTGAGTTTTTTCAGTACAGAAAGTTTCCAGAAAGATTACAAGTTTTTTAATTCCCGACAAAATTGCAAAGCGACGATTTTGTGTCCCAAGAAAACGTTTCGGGGCAGAGCCGATTCTCAATATGAATAGGAACTTTAATAAGGTACCGAACTCGAAATTTGATTGCAACATTGAAGGCCAGCTTGTTCATAGCAACCACGCAAAGAATAGAAAATCGATCGAGACAATAGGTACACAATCTTTCAAATGTCAACTAATTTTTCGATTGTTTTTGAAAAAACAGATATAAAACTTTCTAGACATTGCAATTTATTTCTAAAGATAAAAGCCAATGAATCCGGTGTAAACTGAAACATTGGGGAAGGGGGTGTCAAGTCATGGGATGTGCTGGTCATCATGTTCAAAAGTTCTCAAAAAGTACTTCTTTTTTTAAAAAAAGAACAAACATTTGAAATAAACCCTAAGGCTTCTATTGCACAAGTTGAGGAACATAAGAATGATAAAGTAAAACATTCAAGTTTCTATAATGTACATTTATACTGCTTATTAAGATGCACATTATAATTGCCTCATCTCTCTCTAAAACGATTACATCATGTTTAGAAATTTAAATTGTTGAATAAAACTAAAAGGCATTGATAACGTCTTCATCAAATTAAGTGTAAAACACTGGCAGCGGTGGGATTCGAACCCACGCCTCCGAAGAGACTGGTACCTGAAACCAGCGCCTTAGACCGCTCGGCCACGCTACCCTCAGAGAATCCTCTGTAAATTTATCCCACCGGATAATCAATGAAATATGAAATTAGTAAATTTAAAAATGAAGTACTGGCAGCGGTGGGATTCGAACCCACGCCTCCGAGGAGACCGCTCGGCTACGCTACCGATGCGGACTGTTTTATAAATTCTTCACAATAATAAACGCTTAACTTTTGAAATAGAAGAAATGCGTTTCACTCTCTAATAAAAATACAATCTATGGCAGCGGTGGGATTCGAACCCACGCCTCCGAAAAGACTGGTGCCTAAAACCAGCGCCTTAGACCACTCGGCCACGCTACCGACACGAAAAGAATCAAATTTCCAATACGTCATTCAAAATAAAATAGGATGTGCACACTAAGATTCCAAAAATAGCTTCAATTGCTGGTAGCGGCGTAATTCCTTCCCAAACCTCCGAATGAGTTACACCTGATAATCATTCTTTTAGTCCACAAGCTAATCGGTATTACTTCTACGTTCAGTTACATTATTGCTAATTATTCATCGAAGTAACGCATAACGTTATTTCAATTTACTTCGGAATCAAATTACTCGGAAGGACCTCTGTTTTCTCGAAAACAATTTTTGAATCTTGTGTTTCTGACAGAATTGAAAATTGGAGCCTCATGTTGCCGAATTATGTACCTACACTTCTGTCTCATCGGAATCGAATAGTATACCATCACAGACAGAATTTTATTTTTTCTTTGCAGTCAATTATTTTTCACTTTGTAACGATTGATGAATTTTTATTATATAAAAGTTCTTCTGTTTCTAAAACTGTAGCGTGGCCCGGTGTCAAAGGCACTGGTTTAGGCGCCGTGCCTCAGGCGATGGGTTCAGTCCCACGTATAAACTTTATTCTGCAGAATTTAATTTTGAATCACTGGAACAGTCATCGGAGCACGGAAGCAAAGAAATTTAAACGCGTCAAACTTCG